TATTATTATTATTATTATTATTATTATTATTATTATTATTATTATTACAAATTACTCAAGGCAGTGAACATCTGCAACACACCTTCCTCCTTCATAGTTTCTCCACCACCACAAGGAGGATTGGGCTCAGAGAGGGTGGCTGGCCCAAGGTCACCCAAGACCATTTCAACGTTAATATCTCTGAAATGAGCTGCTTCAGAGATATTTGGAATCAGGAGATGTACAAGTTTAATAAATAAATATCTGAAAAAAAAGTAAATGCATATGGAAACAGGGTGGACAATCCCATATAGCAGGGGTCCCCAACCCCCAGGCTGCAGCCTGGTTACTGGACAAAACCATCTCCGCTCCACAACCAGCTCCCCCCCAATCACCTGGTCCACAAAGCTGGAAAGGTTGGGGGCCCTGCCATAGAGAACATTCAAGAGGAGCTCAAGTTCAGTCAAAGGGAGGCATATTTACAAATATAACAAATATGAACAGACAAACACTTCCAAGATCATCCAACAGTTGGGTTACTTTGCAATGTGCAAGCTACACAATTACAGGTAGTCCTCGACTTACAACAGTTCATTTAGTGACCGTTCAAAGTTACAAAGGCACTGAAAATACTGACTTATGACCATTTTTCACCCTTATGACCATTGCAGCAATCCCACAGTCATGTGATTTACATTCAGATGCTTGACCATTGACTCATATTTGTGACGGTTGCAGTGCTCAGGATTCATTTTGCGACCTTCTGACAAGTCAAGTCAATGGGTAACCCAGTTCCCTTAACAAACTGTGTTACTAATTTAACAACTGCAATGATTCACTTAACAAATGCGGCAAGAAAAGTCGTACAATGGGACAAATTCACTTAACAATTTTTTCACTTAGCAACATAAATTTTGGGCTCAATTTTGGTCCTAAGTTGAGGACTACCTGTAATGTTAAAGCACATTACTAGCTCTTTTACGTTGGGCTGTAGTAACAAATGAATTCCCTGATCTACTTTTGAAGAGCTAGGGAGAAGGGAATTATTTTCTCAAATATGGCAGAAATAAGATTAGTTCTAATTAGAATTTCAAAAATACATGACATATTTCTCAAAAGATGTTTCCAGCAGTTTATGGGTATAAAATTAAAAGCATTAATATTAATGCTAATATATATAGAGAGAGAGACTGTAAAATATCCAGATGATTTATTTATTTTATTTATTTTATTTGGTTTGTCAATTGCTTACAAGATAATAGGTATAAGTAAAAACATAGTTTATGAATACATGGATACATATAAGAAAAATAAAAGAAACAATAGGACAGGGATGGTAGGCACGTTGGTGCGCTTATGCACGCCCCCTACAGACCTCTTAGGAAAGGGGTGAGGTCAACAGTAGAAAGTCTAAGGTTAAAGTTTTTGGGGTTTGGGGAAGAAACCACAGAGTCAGGTAGAGTGTTCCAGACATTGACCACTCAGTTGCTGAAGTTGTATTTCCTGCAATCAAGTTTGGTGCGATTAACCTTGAGTTTGTATCTATTGTTTGCTCTTGTATTGTTATGGTTGAAGCTGAAGTATTCATTGACAGGTAGGACATTGAAATGTATGATTTTATATACAATACTTAGATTGGGCCGAAGGCGGCGTAGTTTTAGGTTTTCTAGGTCTAGAATTTCAAGTCTGGTATTCTGTAATGAGTAGAGGAGTGGAGAACTCTTCTTGTGAAATATTTCTGGACTTTCTCAACTGTGTTAATATCAGATACGTAATGTGGGTTCCAGACTGATGAGCTGTATTTGAGTATTGGTCTAGCAAATGTTTTGTATGCTCTAGTTAGTAGTGTAATATTACCAGAGAAAAAGCTATGTAAGATTAGGTTAAGAACTCTTAATGCCTTTTTGGCTATGTAGTTACAGTGGGCTCTAGCACTTAGATCATTAGAGGTGAGTATTCCAAGGTCCTTGACAGAGTTTGGATCATCAACAAGGTCTTGACTATTCAGCCTGTATTTTATTTTCTGACTTTTTTTGCCAATATGTAAGACAGAGCATTTATTTGTTGAAATTTGAAGTTGCCATTTGTTTGACCATTCTGATACATAGTCGAGGTCTTTTTGAAGGGTAGCAGTATTGTCTGTGGTGTTGAATAGCTTTACATCGTCAGCGAAGAGAACGCAGTTGCTCTTAATATGATCACAGAGGTTATTTATGTAGAGTATGAAGAGAGTTGGTCCTAGAACACTGCCTTGGGGACATCACTGTTGACAGGTACAGAATTTGATAGGACACTCCCAATTTTGACCATTTGTTGTCTGTTTGACAGGAATGCTTCTATCCAGTTATGCAGGTGTCCAGAGATACCATAAGATTTTAGTTTTAGGAGTAGTTTGTCGTGTACCACTGAATCAAAGGCTTTACAGAAGTCTATGTAGATTGCATCTATTGCTTTGCCCTGATCGAGTTGTGTAGTCCATAATGTTTTTGCAGTGTAAGAGTTGCAGATTGCAAGATAGTTTTTTTCTGAAACCAAACTGTTTATTAGAGAGTAGGTTGTTTTGCCTCTAAGTGGAGGATAATGGATTGGTTAATAATTAATTCCATGACTTTACAGGTGACACAGCATAAAGAGATTGGTCTGTAATTTTCAACTAGGCTGGGGTCTCCCTTTTTGAAGATGGGGATGACTGTGGCTTGTGACCATAGTTTTGGCAAGAACTGGTCCTGAAAGATTTTTCAAAGATTATGCTTAGAGGTTCGGCTATGGCAGTGGATAGCTTTTTAAAGAAGTAGGCACATATTCCATCCGGTCCAATAGATAGAGATGGTTTTGGATTGCGTAGTGCTTTTTCAACATGGTCTACTGTAAAATAGATATGTATTAGATCATTGTAGTTGTCTGTGGTTCAACTAGGAAATACTGGGCATGATCCATTGCTGTTTACAAATACTGAGCCAAAGAATGTGTTAAACAGGTTGGCTTTAATGGTGTCATCATTGCAGTCTTTACCATTAGGTCCTTTCAGGGGTGGGATGGACCTTGAGTCTTTTAGTTTGTTGTTTACAAAATTGTAGAAAGCGCGGGTGGAATTGGTGCGTAGAAGGTTTTCCTCTCGTTTAATGTGATAATTGGTGCATTCAGTCTTTATCTGGTGGCATAAATTTTTGTATCGGCTTTTGAAGTTGACAACGTGACCAGATTTGTTTTTCCGCCAAAGTGATCTCTTTTTGGATTGAAGCTTCCTTATTGTTATGGGTAATCTGTTTTTTCTGGTTTTTGGAGTTGTTATTAGTACATATAGTTTGAGACTCTTTTGACTTCAAGTAAAAATATGTTGTAATGGTCTTCAACAGTATTGCACCCAGTTAATAGAAATTGCCAATCAAGGGATGAGAGATCATTGTCTATAAGATCATAGTTGCCTTTTTTGAAGTTATAATTGGGGATCACATCGTTGTGTTGATTTTTGTGTGGACGTATGTTGAGACAAAAGTCAATCATGCTGTGGTCACTGTTGGAAAAGGGTTCTTTAATTTGTATTCCGTAAATTGAATTCAAACTATTGCAGAAGATGAGATCAAGGCAGTTGTTAAGTCTAGTATTGTTGGTTACTAGTTGTTCCAGTCCCAGGTTTGTTGCAGCATTGTAGAAGATTGCATGTATGGGTTCAGTTTTACATTCGTTTAGGGTCCAGTTAATGTGAGCTAGATTGAAATCACCAAGAAAGATAAAAGTGTGTGGGTAGGATGTTGCCCATGTTAGTTGTGAATTTAGCTTGTTTACATGTTCAATGTCATAATCAGGGGCTCTGTAACACAGTAAGAATCGAAATGTGATATTTAAGGACAGTTCACAGACAATGGTCTCAGGAAGAGCAAGCTCTTGGGTAACTTAGATGTTTTTTAGATGTAAGGACTTTTTATAGAAGATAGCAACACCCCCTCCTCTACAGATTTCACGATCTGATTGGTAAACATGATAGTCTCTTACTGTGGTAATGGAGTCAGGGAGAGATGCATTGAGCCATGTTTCAAAGACAAATATGATGTCGAAATTAGCCATATTTAGTAAGAGGAGAAATTCAGGAATTTTATTCACAAGGCTTCTTGCATTGAGTAGCTTGCATTTAAGGCCAGTTGTAGTTGAAATTGAGATAGTTAGGGGCGTGCGTGCCTAGTTTTGAGTGATGGTGAGTTGGATGAGGTAGGGTTGGATGTGGAGTTGTGGGTTGTGTGACTTACTTTTGGTACAATCAGCACGGTAGTCAATGTAGAGATCCTTCTCTCCATTGTCTAGATGATCACTAGAGGGCAGTGGTAAGTCATCTGGAATTTTTGGCAGCCCAGATAAAGTAACCCCATTAAATAAGGGAGGAGAGGCATGCATGATCTAAAATCAACACCAAACCGAATAGCAAATGTGATATTTCTTTTTCCACAAGATGGAGCTGGTCTTTTACATTTTCCACAGATATGTGGCAGCACAATCCATTATAAAAAAAGTAGAGAGAAGTACAAGCTGTGTGAACTGATTAAGTAGCATAATTTGTCGGTGTCTTATGTTAAGCAAAAATAACAATCAATGTGTTGACAATTAATTTCATCCTTGAGAAAAGTGACAGATTGCTAGCACTGGAAAGCAAACAGCTTTTAAAGATAAATTGTATACAGCAACCTACTGTGTGTCACACATTCATGTATATCCCGTAATAGCAGAGTAGAGCAATCTGCATGTGAAATGCAAATAAAACCCAAGTTAAAAATAACTACAATTTAGATTTAAGATTCATAACAAGGAGGAGAAAGGGGATTTGCTGGTTGCTCGTTTACATGGTTTAAAATGTCCATACATTTTTTCAAAGTCACCATGTATCAATATGAAGCGGGATAAGTAATCCCAGGCTCATGGAGTAAAGTTTAGCCTCCTTCAACTTGATCTTGCCTCTTGGTCAAATCCATTCAAAGATCAGCTGAAATAAACTAGATTATTATTACAGATTAACAAAGTTGGAAGAGACCTTGTAGGTCATATAGTCCAACCCCTTCCCAAGCAGGAGACCCTACACCATTTCTGACAGATGGCAGTCCAGTCTCTTCTTGAAAGCTTCTAATGATGAGGCTCCCACAACTTCTGAAGGCAAGCTGTTCCACCGGTTGATTGTTCTCACTGTCATAAAATTTATCTTTATTCCTAGGTTGAATTTTTCCTTCATCAGTTTCCATCCATCATTCCTTGTCTGGTCTTCGGGTGCCTTGGAAAACAGCTTGACCCCCTCCTCTCTGCGGCATCCCCTCAAATATTGGAACACTGCTATCATGTCTCCCCTGGTCCTTCTCTTCACTAGACTAGCCATGCCCAGTTCCTGCAATCGTTCATCGTATGTTTTAGCCTCTAGTCCCCTCATCGTCCTGGTTGCTCTTCTCTGCACTTTTTCCTAGTCTCTCAACATCTTTTTTATAGTGAGGTGACCAAAACTGGATGCAGTACTCTAGGTGTGGTACTAAGGCTTTATAGAGTGGTATACTTGATCTTGATTGTATCCTTCTGTTAATGCAATTTAGGATTGCATTGCCTTTTTTGGCTGCCACCATACACTGTTGGCTCATATTTCATTGGTTGTCCACTAAGACTCCAAGATCCCTCTCACGGTTATGGCTATTAAGCCTGGTTTCAGGCTTAAGATGTTGCCACTTAGTTGGACAAATAAGACTGGAAAATCTGTGCAGATTTTCCTGGAAATACTGGTAGTTCTTTACTTATGACCAGTCACTTAGCAACCATTCAAAGTTTCAACAAACCTCCCTGGGGTGGGAGGGAACTTACAATCCCGGTTCTGAAGTTCCAATGGCCCCACCCTCAAGCCCACAGTCACATAATCATGTTTTATAACATTTTTGCTGGAAACAGCCATTTACTTCTGGTCAACTTTGGCAAAAATGGCAAACCATTGTTTCACTTAATGTCTGCTTTAACAACCACTGAGGAAAAAAGGTCATAAAATCAGGTCCGTTCCATGATCTGATTTTTGACCATCACAGCTCACAACGATGATGGGCAGGCTCCATTAAGGTCGTAAGTCAAGGACTACGGTATGCCCATTCAACTGGGACTTACTTGCGTAGACACATCAAAGATAATTCCGCAAATAAATAATGTCTGCCTCTACTCTTAGCAATATTTGAATGGAAGAACCTGTAATAACAGCAACATCTAACTTGGGATCCTCCTATCCAAATGACTGTTTTTTCAATTGAGCTGAGGGTTGCCTTTTGTAAATTTTGGGGCCTTAAATGCTCTTATCAGCCTTCTCACAACCCGGGTGCCCTCCAGATATACAGACTTTTCCTAGGATTTCCAAACCCACCACAGCCACAGCTGTGTACAGTATTTGGCATCTGAACTCTTGATGCATTTGGACCCCATATTTTGCAGCCTCTTTGCTTGCTTTGCTGCAGCTGCCCAGAGGGGGGCGCTAATGCTCTTCATCTTGGGGTAGCTGATAAAAGGGCTAATGCCATGCTTGGCAGTTGAGGGTGTTGAGAAAGAGAGAGAAAGAACAGCTTTTCAATGCGCATAATAAATAAGAATAAATAATAAAAATTATGCAACACACAATGCAACACATTGAGCAGAGGGGGGTGGAATCTTCCCAGAACAGCCTTGAGATAAATTGCTGGGCTAGTAACTTTGATCGCAATCATTTTAATTTGTCCAGATTGCCTTTTTTTTTTACTTACCAGTATCAACTAAAAAAACTCCATAGTTATTATGCAGATCAGAGCTTTCAGGACAATTCTCGATGCCAGCCTGGTATACTTCCTTGGCTTCTTTTAACTGTTCCTAAAAGCAAAAAAAAAAGGAAAAATGCTGTTATTCAATGGCCAGCCACCATTTAAATGACCATATTGTCATGAACCACAAACCTTGGGATTAGCTGCCATTGCTTTACTCCAGGCCTTGAGGCATGTGACATGGCAGCGGAAACAAGCAGGTAGTAAGCTTCCTGGAAGACACCTAAGACATCTGATAAACCAATAACTGCATGAATACAGTTAAAGTGAATAAATTAGAATACAGTGGTGAATATCTGTAGGGTGTAAGATATGGGTGAAGGTTCCTTCTCCGATCTTGTGGGTTGGTTTCCAAGTGTTTCGTTACCATGCTAGGTAACATCTTCAGCGGAGTTTTGGGGGTGTCAGTGTCAACCAATTCACAAGCTCAGAGAATGAACCTTCACCCACAAAATAAAATATATACCTACATGTATAGCTAAATATATGTACCTGAGACACAACTTTGGGAAATTTTAAATAGTGAACTCTGAACCCTGTAATGTGGGAGGCCTAGAAATTATGCAAACTGCCTTCTATGTGTCAGGCCCAGCTTAAGAAGGCCCTGAAAATAACCAAAAATTAAGGGATACATTCCATATTTTGAAGCAAAGCAGAATTAAACCATTAAGTCCATTTTTCCTAAACCGGAACCTTCCACATATGTATAGTTTAAATAGTTCATTTATTAATTTATCATATTGATACCTTGCCTTTTCTCTATAACAGGGGTGTCAAACCCAAGGCCTGGGGTGCTTAGATCTGGCCTGCGGAGTCGACCTGGAAACAGCGAAGGACTGGCCCGCGGTTTCTCTGCCAAAACGAAAATGAAACAGTTTTCACTGGCAGAGGGTTGCAGGAGGCCGTTGCAGCCGAAAATTGAGTTCGGGAGCCTGTTTTCGCTGACAGAGTGCTCCGGCCGCCTCAGGCGCCCCCGACACGAGTGATGTCGAACTGGCCACAGCCACCCTGCCCGTGCCCACCCTGACACCTGAGGTGAAATACAACCCTAATGCGGCCCTCAAAGAAATCAAGTTTGACACCCCCGCTCTAGAACCTCAAAGTAGCACATATTCTACTCTCTCCTTTAATTAAATTCTCACAATCAGTATCCTGTAAGGTCAGTGTCAAGACATAGACACTGGCCCAAAGTCAATCTGTGAGCATCCATGGTTAAGGACAGACTTGAATCTGCCTTTCTTTCATTCTACTCCAACTTTCATATTATTTCACTGACTTTCAAAAACCAATGTCCAGGTATAACTCACAGAATGCTTAACTAGCATTCTGCCATAAACCTATATGGCAAAGAGTCAATTGATGACGTGACTGTGATTTAAAACATTTTTGCCAAAACGCAGCATTTATTTCTGGGTTTTGACAAAAATGCCCCATAGCAAACAATGGATTCACCTAACGACCACCAGAAAAAGGTTGCAAAATCCGATCAGTCATGTGTGTGACCCAATTTATGATGGTCACAACTTATGACTGTAACAGGCAGGCTTCATTACAGTTGTTGACTGAGGACTATCAGTATAAATACAATTGATTATTGGAAATTATTGAAAACATACTGTATTTGAATTGTACCCAGAAGGTGATAAGGAGCCAAAGTAATGTGCTATAATAATATGCCATAAAGGAAAAGGTTTCCACCTATCCACTCATGTCTGACTTTAGGGGGTAGTGCTCATCTGTTTCTTAGCCGAGGGAGCCAGCATTGTCTGAAAACACTTCCGTAGTTATGTGGCCAACATGACTATATGCTGAGGTGCACAGATCACTGTTACCTTCCCACCAAAGTGGTACCTATTTATCTACTCATATTTGCATGCTTTCAAACTGCTAGCAGCAGTTGGCAGGAGCTGGAGCAAGTAACGGGAGCTCCCTCCACTGCATGGCACTTGGGTCTCAAACCCAGGCTTGTCAGCTTTCCAGATGACAAGCTCAGTCTTTAATCATTGAGCCATCACTATAATGTGCTATAGTAATGTGTCAGGGTATACAGCCAATAAACAGACCACTGCATTCTGGACATGTCTAGCTTCTAAGTAACTTTCAAAACCCCATGTGGAGTCAATTGCAGTAATTTGCACCTTTCAAAAGGCAATCCCATCTCTATCTATAGTGAACCCGATTTAGTTCTGTGGGACTTAACGGCAGGTAACTTTGTATAGAATTATAGCTATCTGCTCACTTTTGTTAAGAACAAGGGCCTTTTTAGAATTCTGTAAGAGTTAATCTCCAAGACTATGACACAGCTACATATTCTGAATTGGTTTAATTTATAGTTGCTTTTTCAAAACAAGCATTTCCCAAATTTGACAAAACAAGGTTAAATGTATGCTTTGGACTTGCAAAAATTTAATCATAGACACTAATGGGAATGTGTGCGTTCATATTCAAGTAACATCCAGGGCAGCCTCGGAAAAAAGGAATCCTTCACAAGGCTTGGTAAACAGGAATTAGACCTCTGGGTTAGATAAGAAAACATAGAGGGGCACTGATTGTAGACTTTGGATTAAGGATACACACACAAAACAACTGCCGCTGGAGATGTCTGTACACAAAATGACCATCATAAAGTGTGTGGCTGCTTACAAAACACCCATTTAGCAGAAAGTAAACTTATTTCCCCATTGTATTCTCTACTGTTCACTAAGGACCTTGATGGGGTTTCAAGATATCCATTGTTAGGACTAAATATGATGCCTGCCAATTTGCTACTGATTTATGTTACTTAAAAGAATCTTTTAAGTGGAAAATCAACCAACCTAGCTTAAATATTGCCCTGGAAGCGTGGGATTTTATCTGCTGGATGTCTGCAGTGGAAACAAAATTCTGATGGTAGAAAAGAAAGGATGACAACAGAGAACTGTAGTCTAAGATAAACATATGCTTCCAGTAATCTAGCTCATGCTTCCTGAACCTGGTGCTCGAGGTATCATTAGTCTAACATTATTACAATTTCAGGTCTATAACTGGCTGCTTGGAAGAGAATTCTGGCCCCCTCTCTCCTATTAATTTCTATGTGACACACATGCAGACATTATAAATGTTACAAAACTACTGATATATGAGAGTAAGGTTTTTTTCCCACAACTGCGCAGGGAAGAGAGAATTTCAATTACACATTTATATCACAAAGCACAAGCGTTAAAGGGTGAGCCAAAGGCTTCCTACACACAGCAGGAATTGAGAAAAGACAAAAAGGAAGCAAGAGAGGCAGGTTATATGGAGACATCATTCTGAGAGGAACAATGAGGGATTACCTCATAGAATAAGATCTTCGGATGATTAAAGTTGGGGAAGGTCAGAAAAAGCGATGTGTTGGGTTTTCAGTATGGAGAGGTAAGGCAAGATGAAAGAACATGGGGAAAGAGTGTGTGCATGCTCTGGAAGTAGGCAGAAAGCTTCAATTCCTGTAAAGGCTTCTGTCAGCGTTCCAGCAACCCTCCATTCCAACCAATAACTCTGAGACAGACATCTCTCAAAGGTTCCTTTATTTGGATAGTAACTGGCACATCCGTGGAATCCCGAATCTGAAAGTTTCGGGCTTCCTTGCAAAAGTCAAAACTACAAATCCATCCCCACTTAGCCATCATCACATCACATGATCCAATCACTAAAGTAAGATTCCCATTTCATTATGTGCAAAACTCTGTGACCTTGAACCAGCAAAAGAATTTTATTTTGTCTAACTCAATGGCTCCCAAAGCGGGCGGTACTGCCCCCTGGGGGTGGTGGGATGCCTTAGGGGGGCAGGGGGAGCTAAGAGGAGGCAGGGGGTGCTGGAGGTGAGCGGCAGGGCACAATTCAGGGGTGAGAAAAAATTCTGCCGCCGCGTTCGAGGCGAGGCCCCGCAGGATCACCCCATTGACTTGCACGTTCTGGTGCAAGGAGCTTAATGGGATGATCCTGCATGGCCTCGCCCCGAACGCAGCATTGGGAAAAGACAGCAAAGCCAGAGTGGCTTTGCTCTCCTTTTCAAACATCCCCCCGCTGCCGGCAGGTGATCCTGCGGGGCCTCCTCCCAAACACAATGTTGGGAAAGGAGAGCAAACCAGAGTGGCTTTGCTCTCCTTTTCAAATGTGCCAGCACTGCCGCGTTCTAGGTGCCGGTCCCACAGGTCTACCCCAATGAGCCTGATGCACTGGAGGGACCTACCCAAGCAAGTCCGAGCGGAGCGGTGCACCAAATCAATGGGGTGAGCCTGAGAAAGGGAAAGAGAGAGAGAAAAAAAGAGAGAAGGAAGAAGAGAAAGAGAAAAGGGGGGAAAAAGAAAGAGGGGCAAAGAAAGAGGGGGGAAGGAAGGAAGGGACAGAAAGGAAAAGAAATAAAGAAAAAGGGACAAAGAAAGAGGGGGGATGGAAGGAAGGGACAGAAAGAAAAAGAAATAAAGAAGGAGGGAGGAAGGGAGGGAGGGAGGAGAAAGATAATGAGATATCTATTCTACTCCAATCACCTGCTCCAGCAGGGTTAGAAGGGAGTGTGTGTGTGTGTGTGTGTGTGTGTTCTCCTTGTAATTTACCAGTACATTTTGGTTTTGCCTTCTTCAGAATTGGCATTGTAATACATTGGGGAAAAGTAATTTTTTAGGGAGGAGGTCTGGTCCAATGGATCCTGTTTAAAGCCTCAACAAAATGTGAGAGCTTCCTGATAGTCTTGGCCATGTTTCATCCACAAAACCTTTTATTAATAGAAGCCAAAGATGTTTCAATGTGCTGGCAAAGATGCTGGCAAAGATGTTTCAATGTGGAAAAGAGCCTCTAAACTAGGCCTCATTTCAATCTGATGCATCAGGTCTCTCTCTCTCTCTCCCCCTTTCTTTGTTCCTTTTTCTTTCCCTTTTCTCTTTCTTTTCTTCCTTCTCTCTTTCTCTCTTTTCTCTCTCTCTCTGTCCCTCTCCCAGGCTCACTCCATTGATTTGGTGCACCGCTCTGCTCGGACTTGCTTGGGCAGGTCCCTCCAGTGCAGCAAGCTCAATGGGGTGGACCTGCGGGACC